AAATATTTTGTGATTTGATTATCCAACCTGAAGAACATGTTTAAGAATTTTCAATAGATTTCAAACTCAAGACCACCGTCACAAAAAGTCAAATATTTGAAGCGAACCGATTCATTTCGTCATAATTTTTGTAACATTATATACACATAAGATAAACAAAATAAAATATAAAATCTGTACATTTTTACTAGTGATTGTACTGATAAATCTTGATTTCAATCAACCATCATCCCGATTTTAAATTTAGATTTTTTTGTCTTAGATCTACCTTTTCACTAGCGCCCTCTGAGGAGTTATCCCTAATAGCGCCATGGTTCGATGGTTTTTGGTGAGAATGATATTTTTATGAAAGAATTAGGTGTTACAAGATCGTTTGTGCAGTTTAAGCATGATCTATAGACAATTGACCTTTTTCCATATAAATGAAAAATAGATGGCATCATGGGTATTGGTAGAGCTTGGGTAGGGCTAGAATACATGTAAATGTATTGCCAGAGTCACTTAATTTCTTGATAAAAGGAGTAATAACATTTGGATCAACTTAAAACATCATCGGAATGTAACTTTATGATCTTATTGACATGTGGATTGTGATTTCACATTAAAATTGTGATCCTTGGAAGAGTAAATGAACTTTTTAAGGTTTTTCAGCATTATGTCAATGGGGATTTAGCCCGACCTTTTTAGACAACCAGTAAATCATTAGAATTCGAATAATGGTAAATTACAGTGCAAATCAAAGTTGTTTTGATAGAGAATTACTCACAGAATTCAAATATATCATCAGATGGAAGAAAACATTAGTTTTTAATGGTTAAAAATGCAGATCTCCTAAAATCTCATTAAAAACAAGACCTTAACGAGATTTCAAAGCTATATGGAAAAAGGACCATTTGGCATTCAAAACCCGTAATTTTGAAGTCAAGAAATGAAAAATGCTGATTCAGCATTATTTTTTAGTTTCCTGATCATATCCTTATGGGTCATCGTCCAATAAACATTTCAAGTCACATTTCTCTTATTCTGAGAGGTTTTGAGCCAAACAATAGCAGTTTTAGTAGTTTCTTATGTTTCTAATCACCCAAATTAAAAAAAATATCCCAATTGATGTCGCCGTATGTTATCTTGGAAAATATTAGTGGTGTATCTTTAACTTCTGTATATATTTCATGAATAACCCCAAGGGTTTATGTAAACACTCATTTTTTAATGAGAATGCATTAATGTATTTTTACTAGGGCTTTAAAGGGTCCAAAATGAATCATTCGTTACTGTCGCCGTTTTGAATTTGAATTTTCAAGTCATGTTTCCAGGTATTTATTGTCACAGTTCATTCCATTTCCAAACGTTTTTACTTCGCCACTGTGTGTTTCTAAGAGAAAGTGATAAACAAAACCCATCTTGAACGATATATTATTTTCTACAGCCTCTCAAAGAGGTGTCGCCAGTTTCAGAAAATTCAGAATAATCATCGTTACTTGATTCATTCATTCCAATTATATGAGTCTGGAATTGAGATAGGAAATGAAAAAATGTTATATTGAAAGATTGTTTGTGTTTTTAGTGGAGGTCACGTGTCAAGACCGAGGAATGTCTGCAATTTTTTCACATTTGCTTGTAGAAACAAGTCAGTGCCTTGAGTCCGTTTTAAGAAAAAAATGTTCGTTACCATCAGAGTGAGTTAGAGTCCGCCGTTGCTTAAAAATTGGATGTTGCGCTTCTCTCGCACACATATAAGAAAATATCCAGCACAGACGAGATCTGATGTTTACTTATTTTGCAGATCATACAGAATATCCATACACAGAAGTAAGTTTAAAATAGTTTATGATTGCATAAAAACTAATTTGGTCGTATTTTTGATAGCTTGGGAATTAGACAACACTTGTTATAAATGGTGAATTTATCGTTACTAACGTACGTAACGAATGATTCAATTATCTGTGTTTGGATTATAAAGATATTAGTGGCATTGATACAATTTGTCACAATGGATTTCCATGAAAACTAGAGGATATGGTCGTCATTAGTTTACATTCAAAGAGGTCAAAATTCATATTTTCACGTTTAAATCGTATTAATTCCTGACTGATACATCAAATTAGTTATGGAATGAATGATTCTGATTGATAGGCTCGGGAATATAAAGAGAATGCTTTATTCATAGAATATTATAAAAGTTAAAAATATTTAAGAATAATGCCCCAGAAATGCTGAAACCAAATGTATGGGTTTTCAACCATGTAAATCCTTTAATAGTTGATTTTTGCAGATGACAAAGAAAGAGCAGAAATACAAAAGCATACAGTAACGTTTGAAAGCAAAATACAATGAAAAAGAGGGAGAAAACGAAAGGACTAGGTCCAGACCTTATCGAATGAGTTATCTTGATCTGACAGACTAAAAAGAAATACCATACAGGTCATGGACACCAATCTGATCAATGTTCAATGAAATTAAGTTTAGCAGACCCATTGAGCAGACCCATTTTTCTTGGCCGCACTGCCCTCCGTTGAATCAAAATCCATGTTCCCGTTACAAATGTAGAATGGGGTAAATATACAATATCTAGGACAATGACTGGTTGTTTTAGTTGCATCATATGATGTAGATATATGACCAAGGCAAACTCAGTTGGCACTTGTGGCAACTTGCGTGGCACTCATCACATCATAGTAACGATAACAAAAATCGCCATGTAAGAAATTATCGTTACTATGATGTGATGTAAATCTTGAATCAACCAGCATCCCGATTTTAAATTTAGATCTTTTGTCTTCTACCTTTTCACTAGCGCCCTCTGTGGAGTTATCCCTAAGAGTACAGAAGAACGATATTTTTGAGATGGGCGATAATATATCTGCACTTCGCATTTACATGTAGGCCTGAAATAATACTAATATACAAGACGTTCAGTAAGTTCGTGCAAAGATACTCTAAAGGTTTTGTTTCTTAGTCAATCTGGCTGAAATTTTAACCCAGCATATTGTACCTCCACTATTGACACATTGAGATCCTAACTTATAAGGAATGGGTTCATGAAGAAAAAAGTTATGGTTGCTATAGTAACGTGAGTCAGGTGTAGGCGGAGCAGGCAAAAGGATCAATTTCGTTTGAATGTTCAATTTTTTATTTTGTTTTATTTATTTTTCTAACAGCATCTAAATGTAATATATATGTTTTCAACATAGTGTCCATCATGGTATCTACACCTCTTCTGTCATATTAACCATGCAGCCTTTACTAACGTGGCGTACGACTGCTGAGATAATTGAAATTACGTCTAGAGTGAAATGTAAATCAGAGCTTTATGACAAATAAGATACTCAGTATCTAACGAAAAGAATAACCACTTAACAAGTTCTTGGCAGAGCAAATGCAAAAATATATCCTTTAACGTCTCTCAAATTTACAACCAACATGCTGCCACCAGCACTGTTTACGTACGACTGGTCCGAAAATTGACATTTCGTCCAGAGCACAAACTGTATCAGAGATTTAAGACGAATTAGATATAGAATATATAATGAATAGGAACATCATTCATAAAATCCATTCAAGTGTATACTGCAAAATATATACTTACAAGTCTCACAAAATTGCAAAGGACTGGCTAGTAGCAGTGTGACGAAAGACTGGTCGGAAATTGACATTTCGTCTAGAGCGCTAACTGCATAAGTGATTTAGACGAATTGGATATTATATATCTCCCTCCCTCAATAAGAACCTCCATCCTATGGCAAACGTAAAATTATATACATAAACGTCTCAAAAAAATATCAAACTAGCCGCTGCTACCAACGCGATGCACAACTGGTCCGAAAATTGACATTCCGTTCAGAGCGCAGAATGGAACTTTATTAAAAATTAGATACTCAATATCTCACGGATAGAATGACCACACAACACTACCTTGGTAGAGCAAATGCAAAAATATATCTTTAAACGTCTCTCAAATTAACAACCAACATGCTGTTACCAGTGTTACGTAATTACCGGTCCGAAAATTGACATTTGGTCCTGGATTGTGATATTGGTTCTCGATTGGAGGGAAGAGGGGGATATTAGACAGTGTTTCTTTTCACGTTAGATCATGGTTATTGGATTTTTTTATTTATTTATTTAATACACTTATTCGATCCATTTACTACATTCAATATAACATTTCAATACATTCAATACAACAAATTAATATATCTGCGAAATCCAAAAAACACTGTTACCCACCATGTACGTTATACTATTATAGTTTAAAATCTAAATTCATTTTCTTAATTAAAAATGTCTAGACATCTTTTAACCATATTTTCCGTTTAATAATAAAAAATTCACTATTAACCTCTATCATGTTTTCTAATGAGCTATCTTCTCTAAAGTAAAAAAGCATTTTATCTCTTTCAATTAAATTAGTAATTTCTAAATTGTCCAATTCATTTTTGAATTTACATTCTAAAAAAAGGTGTTCTTGTGATTCCTCAACATTTTTACAAACTTTACACATTCCATCAGATGATTTTTGTTTTTTCAATCTTCTTTCAATTTCTATTGCACCATTTATTACTTTATATATGAATTCCTTTACCTTATGATTTACATTTGTCTTAAATAGTTCTCTATACATTAACTTAAATGGGATCTCACCATATTGATTTTTCCAATGGGCTTCTGATTTATTTGTCACCCCTATTCTACTAACAATTTTCTTTCTTATATACTACATGTTTTTATTTTCTCTATATTTTCCCCTAAAAAACTTATTTTTTCATTCCTATTGAGTTTATTTGGATATTTTATCAAAGCTGCTCTTACTTGTACATATTGCATATAAACATCTGGGCCTCTGCTTAATTTATTAATTATTTCATTGTATGTTAAACATTTACCTTCTATTATAAAATCAGACACATAATTAATCCCCCCTCTAATCTATTTTTTGTCATAAAGAACTCTTTTTTGAAAAGTTATGTCCAGATTGTTCCAAATGATGTCACAATCTTGCTTGGCTGAAAGTGAGGCTGAAACAAAATGGAGGTCTAAAAAATTCTCCGGTAAAAGTTTTCTTATTTTCAGGCGTAGAGGTAAATAGACGATTACAAACGTGTTACTATTAGCTATTATCTAATGTTGGATATGTCCTGAACAGTCGTAGGATATATGAAGGATAGTATACTACCGTGGTGAGTGAAAAAATTGATTTATACGAACTGCACGTACACCAGTCCTTTGTGTAAGAGATCTGCCCATAATAAATCAGTAATGCCGGGTAAAGCCAAAAAGGCTCGTGCACGTAATACCACTAGGCACACTAGATCAAGTTCAGAAATGTCAAATGATGAGGGAAAGGTTTGTGATACTGAAGAGACTGATAGTGAGGAGACAGCATGTGCCACGCCCAAAGGGAATCCTGTAGTAACAGATAATGTCAATATTAGTGAAGAAGGACGGATCCTTATTGATCGTATGGAATGCTTGAGTAGAGAAATCACGAAACAAAACTCGGAATTTCATGATGAAATGAATGTATTGAGAGATGATATTCGAAAAAACACAAATGACATGAAAAATGCATTTAAGGAGGAAATAAGTGAACTGAAGAGTGGTATCACCTATGCCCAGGAAGTCAGTGAGGAGAACAAGATCAAAGTAGAGGAACACGAAGAATGTCTTAAGGATATTCAAATTCAATCATCTTCCATGTCTACTGCTATAAAGAATATGTCATATCAATATAACAAAATGTATGATGAACTGAACACTAAACTTCTGGATATGAATGTGTACTCTCGTAGAAGTGCACTCCACTTTCAGAACATTCCTGAGGAGGATGGCGAGAATCCAGGAGACGTAATGAAGCACTTCTTTGTCAATAGACTTAAGATGTCGAAGGATGAGGTGCAAAATATTCGCTTCGAGCGTGTACATCGAATCCCACTTGGTCCTAAAGAAAAGTACAGATTCACTAGAACAATGACCGTGAAATTCAACTGGTACCAGGATAGAGAGACAGTGTGGGGAAAACGTTTTAGTCTTAAAGGATCAAATATATACGTTACTGAGAGCTTTCCAAAGGAAGTTGAGGATAACAGACGCCTGTTGATGCCATATTTCAAAAAGGCCAAGGAACTAAAATGGAAATGTGCCATGATCGCAGACACCCTTATAGTGAAAGATGAGCGATATAAGATTGGAGACATACAAAAATTACCAATGGAACTTTTGAATGACAACTCATCAATGCGAGATTTGGACACGGTATTTTTGTACAATTCGTCCACATCCCCCCTTGGCCCAGATAGCTGCACACCCTTTGAATGCGACGGCACGATGTTCCGTAGTGTGACGCAATACCTAGCCTATAATAGAGCTATCGTAATGAAGGATCAGCGTACTGCAGACAAGGTGCTACAATCATCTGACCCCAGACAAATCAGAAGGCTTATATCTGAAATCAGAGGAAGTGATGGCCAATCATGGAGAAAAGTAAGTGACAGCCATGTGATAAAAGCTACGGCTATTAAATTCAGTGTGCACAAGCAAATCAGAGCTCTTTTAATGAGAACTGGGTCCAAAACCATAGGAGAGTGTAACCCACATGATATGATTATGGGCACAGGATGTAGTTTAAATGATAAAACTGCTAGTGACACAAGTGCCTGGAGAGGTCAAAATCTTGGTGGCAACGCTCTCATGGAAACGAGAAACCATATCAGGAAGATTGACAAGGCATAACACAAGCACATAGCAATATATACAATATACAGTGATACATTGAACCAGGATAGTGCGAGCATTAGTTGGTGCATCTATCCCACGAGCAAAGTGCGATATGCCGAGTTTTTTACAAAAATTCTTTGATCATTATAGGAACAAAATACGAGCACTACAGACTTCACAAACAAAATGTTGTTATTGTTTTGATAGCGCACTGACGTCCGCGCGATGGCAAAATCTATACACAGTAGATCAGTTATGCTGAAATCGACCGCTGTAATGCTCGTATAATGTGCTCTATAAACCACTAAATGGTATGTATAATGCGTGTAGATTTTTTAAGCGGTCAAAAGTAAGCGAATGGAGTGCTTTGGAAATGCAAAAATCAAGTTGTATATATGTTTGGTTAGCGCTTGAAACTTGGCTTTTGGCCAAGCTGGATTACTCGTACTGTAAATTATGTTACATTAGCAAGCGCCTGAAAAGTGTAAACTTTTGCTTCTTTTATTTATTATCAAGTGTTTTATATATGGGAAATGAAGATATGAATGTAAAGTATGAATGGAATGAAAGCTGGATGAATGTTATGTTGGTTTGGACAAATTATTTGTTAGAAATTGAATATTTTATATGCCTCGAATTATATGTGCAAGGACTATTGGATAATTGTATTGTATTTTACTCAAAGCTTATAGTGTGCTGCTACTAAAGGTCCAAACACAAATTTAAGATTATGCACTCTTAATGTAAGAGGCATTAGGAGTCACTCGAAGAGAAGATCTATATTTTTATATGTAAAACGTTTTAAGAATGATGTTGTATTCCTTCAAGAAACGCATTCAAGTGTAGATGATAGTAAGAGATGGGAAAATGAATGGGGGTTAGGGAAGTGTATATTTTCTCATGGCAGACTTCGAAATGAACGGGGAGTAGCTATTTTATTGGGAAATAACCGTATATCCATCATAAAACAGTTGAGTGACACTGAAGGAAGATACATCATCATTCAAATACAAAGTGAGGGTAAAAACTACACGTTATGCAATATATATGCTCCAAATGATGAAAATGTTAGGAAAGAGTTTTTCGACCATGTATCAGCAATTATAACAACAGAATTTTCACACGAAAATCTGATTCTAGGGGGAGATTTTAATGTTACTATGGATAATAGATTAGACAGATATTCAAAAAATGTTGAACATATTCAAAATAATGATGCATCTCGTGGGGCGCTGCTGGATTTAGTTAAATTTTATGACCTCGTTGATATATGGAGGCATCAGAACCCCACAAAAATTCAATATACCTATGAATCTTATGCAAAAGATGACATGCGAAATTCTCTTTCCAAAAGTAGGTTAGATATGTGGTTCATTAAAAGAAATATGGGTAACAGTAGCCTCTGTAAGATAGCTCCATCGGTTAAGTCTGATCACAAATGTGTATTACTAGACACTATGTCAAATGGAAATAATAAACGAGGCCCTGGCTTTTGGAAAATTAATAATAAACTGATTGAGAATGAAGAATATCAAAATATTATCAGGAAATTGGTGAAAGATGTTAAAACAGAATATAATGACCTTGATAATATCCAAATGTGGGAATTTCTAAAATACAAAGTTAAAGTTCGAACTATTGAGTTTTCTAAGCAAAAGGCCAGGGCACTTAGGGCGCAAGAGATAGAGCTAATTAAATTATTAGAGAATCTAGACAGTGAGCTGGTCAACGGAAATAATCTTAATGCAGACAACTGTAGGAAATACGATGAAGCAAAATCTAAGCTAAATGACATTTATCAGTATAAAGCTGAAGGGGCAATCCAACGCTCAAGGGCTGAATGGGTTGAAAAGGGGGAGAAAAGTACTCAGTATTTTTTCAATTTGGAAAAATCTAACCATAATAAAAAACACATTACAAGACTTATTGTTGATGGAGCCATTGTTACGGATGAGACTGAAATTCTTAATCAAATAAAAGCATTTTATGAAGAACTATATTCATCGAAATCATTAAAAGATTGTGAGAAATTTAGACGTTTTGATGAAGGAATACAAATAGATAAATTAGATAATAATGAACAATTATCATGTGAGGGAACCTTAACAACTGATGAATGTTTTAGAGCCTTAAAGAGATTTAAAAATGGAAAAACACCCGGAAGTGACGGTCTTAGCTCCGAATGGTACAAGCATTTTTGGGATGACATTAAAGAATCCGTAGTTAACTCATTCAATTTTGCATTTGAAAAGGGTATTCTTTCAATGAGCCAAAGGCAAGGTGTTATATCCCTTATACCGAAGGGAGAAAAAGATTCAGAATATTTAAAAAATTGGCGACCAATTACTTTGCTAAATATTGATTATAAAATTGCATCCAAATCAATAGCACAGAGAATAAATGCTGTTCTAGGTAAAATTATTGGATCGGATCAAACTGCTTTTATTGAAGGGAGGTTTATCGGAGAAAATATTCGCTATGTCGAGGATCTTTTGGAATACACCAAGAAGAAGGGTATACATGGAATCGTTTGTATGGTGGATTTTCTCAAAGCCTACGACAGTGTCGAGTTTGATTATATTGAGCATGTACTAAGGGTGTTTAACTTCGGAGATGACCTGATCCGATGGGTTAAGATGTTTAATAATGATATTAAAAGTTGCGTCCTTAACAACAACGTGTCGACTGGCTGGTTTAGTGTTAAGCGCTCATGCAGGCAGGGGGACCCGATCAGTTGCTTGAATTTTTTACTTGTTATAGAGATGCTAGCCTTAAAAATTAGACAAGACAATGGTGTACAGGGAGTTGACATTGGCGAGTCAAGTCAAAAACTAGCGATTTTTGCAGATGATACCACGTTGACTCTTAAGGACGTAACGTCATTACAAAAAGCATTGGACATCTTTGAAGATTTCAGACTAATATCAGGTTTATGTATTAATAGAGAAAAAACAGAGTGTATGTATATTGGAAGTGATCGTCATAATAATGAAATAAACCTTTTTGGTCTGAAATGGGTAAAGATACCAAGTAGACTTTTAGGGATAAAAATATCATATGACACAAATGCAAATAACACGGATAATTTTGAGAGAAAGTTAAATATGCTTGAAAAGGTTCTTATATTGTGGTCAAAGCGAGATCTTACTTTTTATGGAAAGGTACTCATAATTAAGTCCCAGGCAGTGTCGAAGCTAATATACTCGATGACAATGACCAATACGCCTGATGATATCTTGACGAAGGCTCAACGACTAGTCTATTCTTTTTTATGGGGAGGAAAGGGTGAGAAAATTAAGCGAAATACTTTAATAGGGGATTTTGAGGATGGGGGTCTCAGAATGATTAATATGTTCACAATGGAGAAAGCCTTGAAATTAATGTGGTTAAGACGTTTACTTGACACACGAACTAGTCACTGGAAGCTTATTCCTCAAGTTTATTTCAAGCGTCTTGGAGGACTGAGTTTTTTGTTGCAGTGTAATTATGATATTAAAACTCTGGCACACAGTGTTCCTACATTTTATATGAATTTGCTTCGAAACTATTCAGAATTAAGAAATAGGTCGCCGCCTAGAACCAGTTCAGGGGTTAAAGGTGAAATAATTTGGAATAACAAATCAATTCTAATTAATGATAAGGAGGTGATGTACAAACATGTCATGGAAAAGGGGGTCATTTATATTAATGACCTTCTTAACGAGAATGGGGCTTTTTTACAGTACAATGAGTTTAAGACTAAGTATAATATTAATATCAACTTTCTTGAGTATTTTTCAATCATATCGGCTATACCAAATGGTTGGAAATTTCTATTGAAATCAGATTTAAGTTCGACCTTTGAACCCAGCATACAGGAAGAACTCGTGTATTTGAAACTTGGTGAAAAACAGGTGACAATCTCTAGTATAACGGTTAAATCAATTCAAACAATATTAAATGGAACCAAGTTCTTGGAACCGTTATATAAAGACAAACATGATCGTGAATTAAAGAGAACCGATTATTTTAAAATGCCTTATATGTGTACGAAACAGAATAAAACGCGACAACTTCAGTTTAAAATACTTCATGGTATCTGCACTACAAATGCCTTTTTAGCGCAGATAGGCATTAAAAATGACTCTAAATGTAACTATTGTGCCTTTCGAGATACGTTAAAACACAAATTCTGGGAGTGCAAAAGAATTCAAATATTTCTGGAAGCAATCAAAGGGAATTTAAAGCGTTTATTTAAAGTTGATTTCGATTTTAACGCCCATGACATGGTTTTTGGAAGGCAAGCTAATAAGAAAAATATCTTACCAAATAGACTTACCCTTGCAATTAAGTACTATATTTTTATTAAAGAGTTCGACGAAGTGAATCCCAATTTGTATGAGGCGCAATTTGAAAAAAAATATGTTTTATTATGTACCTGAACTTAAAAGTATGACTGTTGCAAATGTCTGAATGAATGGAGGTGGTGTGAAAAATATCTGAACTGTTCTAATTATTGTACTTGTACTGTTTGAATAGAGAAAAAAAAAGAAATAAAAAAAAAAAAAAAAAATGTCACAATCTAAAAGATTTTTATTTTCAGATTTTGTTAACCAAATTTCTAACCCCCTTTTCCAAAAACTACTCTTTACTTCATTAATCCCTATAAAGTTTTCCATATCTATCTTGCTTTTGAGTACATTGAAATTAACCCCTAACTTGGAAAATTCAGCTTTTGGAATTATTTTCCATTTATCCATGCCCTCACCAATCAGTTTTGAAAACCATTTTACCACAAATGAGATTTGAAAGTCTATCATATTTATCATGTTTAGATCACCATTTTCACTTTTCCAAAAATTGTTAAATCCCTTCGTACTTGGTTTTTGGATATATAGGGTCTACGTTTCTTATGACAGATTTACACTTACAGTTTGCTTTTCTTGTATGGTTTCTTTAAAGTTTTTAATCACCCTTCCCTTTGGCATTTGTACTTATATATTCTGACGAATAGAATGACCAATCAACAAGTCCTTGGTAGGGCAAATGTAAAAATGTATCCTTAAACATCTCACTAATTAGCAAGTATCATGATGCCACCAGCGTTACGTACGATTGGTGCAAATATTGACATTTCGTCCAGAGCACAAACTGCATCAGAGATTTAAGACGAATTAGATATAAAATATGTCACGAACGGGAGCATCATTTAATATTTCCATTCAAGAGTATACTTAATATATATATATACTTAAATGTCTCACAAAATATAGCAAAGGACTGGCTAGTAGCAGTGTGACGTACGACTGGTCGGAAAATTGACATTTCGTAAAGAGCGCAAACTGCTTAAGCAATTTAAGACATATTGTATATTCTTTATCTCCCTAACAGAAAAGTCATTCAATACATCCAACCTATGGCAAACGAAAAAAAATATAAACGTCCCACAAAATATCAAACTAGTCACTGCTACCAGCGCAATGTAAATCAGTAAAAAGTAGAAAGTAAATCAGAGCTTTATAACAAATTAGATACTCAATATCTCACGAATAGAATGGCCACTCAACAAGTCCTTTTTTTCTTTTCTTTTTTATTGCATCTTTCTTACACAAAACATTATACATAATATACATACAGATCAAATCCATATACATTGAATATTCAATAATATTATTACATATTTATATTTAACAGTTATATGTTTTTAAGCTTTTCAGACCATTCAGAGTATTTAATTAAGCTTAATTTAAAAGGGTACCATTTGGAAATACAATACATGCAATACGATTATCTTTCAATCGTATTGTGCTG